TATTTATGAAGGAGCTTGTTAAAAACAATTCAGTATGGTCCTTCATAAATATATTCAAATCATATATTTATACCCCGGAGGTAATGATTTATGGAATATCTATTTTCGTACTTATTAAGGTTCCAATTTTCGACAACTTTGAGACATTTAAATTTGTTTCTTAATTACTAAGTTATTTAATAAAAAATGGATATGATGTCGTTTACCTTCAAAGATATGTACTACAAGGTAATGATCTAATAATGCGTTTAATAATATTATTTCATTATTTTTCATACAATTTATTTTTTATTAAATTAGTTTTGTCAAGTTTTAATTAAATTGATTAAAATTAAGTTTGTTAAATTTAATTAAAATTAATTTTGATAGACTTTAGTCACATTAAAAATCTTGTCAGATCTTCGGTATTTGAACCAAGGTCAAAATATGATACTTATTTTTTTAAGAAGGTTTACATATGAATTGCGAAAATGCATGCACTTCGAAGTTAAATGACCTCACTTGCCATTTCAAAGCCCCTAATTTCAAAAATATTAGTTAATAATATATTATGTGAGATAACAGAACATGGAACGGATTTATATTATAAAAGGTAAAGTATGAAATTTTATTTTTTATCTTGTATATATTATACAAGATAAAAAATAAAATTTCATATTGGGCGCGAACATGCTAAAAACGAATAAAATAAAAATAAATAAATAACACAAACTTTCTAGAAAAAACTTTTAACAGCCGAAAATTGATGAAATATTAGTTATTTTTTTGTCCTACAACTCGTGAAAGATGGATTCCAGTAAAGACTTTATTCTAGAACAAATTAAAGAATATCATAAAACTGCTTTAAATGACTACCACAAATTACTAGTTTGCTAGTTAGTATGTTCGAAAACAACGCAAGATTTTATACAATATTTTTGAAAACTGGGATACATAAATCTAACTAAAAAAAATGATTTGTGGAGCATCGATTCCGGTCCCATTTGAAATTCGCCGTTTTTCTATTAAAACCCTTTGATATCATTCTGGCTTTTCTAATTCGGTAAAACAGTGAAAATATCTAGTCTAATGATTTGATTTTGAGACTCAATACACTTCGATACCTTGGACCCCCATTTCTGATTTACGAAAAAGTCAGTTTCGTTTTTATAAATGTTGCCATCCTGAGCATTCTTGTATCTATATACCTAATAAATGACTTATTGCATAGGTAACATTCCTCACATACATTTTTATTGATTTATAAATAAGTGCTAATAATATAGGAGGTATAATATATAAGTGATGCTGTTCTTATTTTGAAAGCTGTCATAAAAGGGTAATTAATAGTGGGTACGTGTTGCAATTAGAGAGGCCTTCTTGAACCTGCCTCGGGCAGTCCTTGAACTTGTATCTTTCTCGGCCTGTAATATTTTATCAATATTAATGATCCGAGTGTCTTAGCAGCTTGCGCATCATCTTCAATTTTTAATTGTAAAAGAAAAAAAATAATATTTAAATAAATAAAGAAAAGCAATAGTTTAAACCATTCTTCAAAGTTTGAATTTTTTGATAAGCACATAAAATCGATACAAGTCTAGACCCGAATTACTAGACTTTATAAAAAAAAAAAAAAAAAATACCCAATTGGATAATATATAATGATATTGAGAATTACATAAGATTTTATTATGATTATTTTTTTTTTATTTGAAAATTAATACATTCTGCTGTATTGGAGGGCATTAATATTAGGTCTACATTAAACATTCACACAATATATACATTCAAATTATAACTAAAATAGAGATAAAAGAAAAAGAGTTGTAGAAAGCAAAATAAGAAAATTAACATACATAGGTAAAAAAAAATAAATAGAGAGAAACTAAATGAAATGGAAATATATAAAACACATTCACACCTATATAAAATATACATAAAATTTAGTGAATTATTTTTTATTATGGTGAGAAGTGTTGAGATAGTTTGTAACGCCGACAAAAAAGAAGGGTTGCAACAGGCATTAAAATTCCAGGATTTTCGAGAAATTCAGATTAGATTAAATTAGTTTTAAAAAAACTCTAAATTATTCTTACTAACGTTGTTTATCAACTGCAGTAAATTTAATCATATAGTCGTTATTATTTTAACTTAATGAGATGAAGCCCCATGTAATGCATAGATCGTATGCATTTTAAGGAACTACTTATAACTCCCTTACTTATAAATACATACGATCTATGTGCATTTCGAGGATTCCATTTCATAAATTTAAAAATGTGAAAATCTCAATTGCTCATGTTTGGGGATAAGAAAAAAAAAATATATATATATATATTGTAAAATTGGAAACATTAGCAATCGGGATAATCCGGAAATCTGTTTTAAAAAACCCAGATTATTTTTCTTAGGTCTGTAATAAATTCATGGAACTCAGACATTTTATTTTTTTTTTATTTGAATAATTCAAACATCTTTGGGTATCCTTATCCACTCATATCACTTATTTTCAAGATCCATTTATATCATCTAATTTTTGATATGATGGTATGTAAATAAATCAAAAACTTTTTTTTAAAATATATAATAGCTAACTTATAATCTAGAAAGGACCACCAAAATTTATGTTTTTGATTCAGTTTAGTAATATAATTCATATTACTTTTAATATAAATTCATTAGAATGAATATAATATCAATGGTTATCTCTCTAATATAATATATATATATATATTTAATTATTATCATTCCTTATGGTTTAGTTGGCGCCGGTATTTGGAAAAAAGTGGCGAAGGCTAAAGTCGCTGATGGTGTTTTAATGAGGGTTGGTGCCATTAAAACTCTCGAAAAGAAACGAAAAAGAAATGGAGTCGTGAAAAGGAAGATATAATGTCAGCTGGATAGGTTACTTATGCTAAATTTTAGAATTACCTAAATAATCCTAAACAACTTATATTTTATCCATCTCTCTCTCTCTCTCTCTCTCTCTCTCTATATATATATATATATATATATATATATATATATATATATATATATATATATATATATATATATATACATATTTTTAACGGCTATGTTGTCAACTTTATCGGTGGTGCCACATAGAGCTTTTAGACCTTTAAGTCCCTGTTCGCACTTCTCCGAATGGACAAACGCATCCAGAGGCCCGAGAAAGGCCGAGGGTCTAATTTGAGCCAGCTGAGCCCCGAAGACGAGTCAAGTCAGTTGGTCGATTTAGTTCGCAAGGGCCTATTTATAACGAGCGGCTCACTTCCCTGCCAAAAGTCAAAGCACTCGGATGATTTACGATTCTGCCCTAAACGGCACTCCACTATCCATCTTCTTTTCTCGCTGAATTATGATTAAGGCTATGCGTCCTTCTGCGCCTTTGGGGCATTCCTGACCAAAAGCATAAAGGAGCAACGAACGTTAAATGAGTCATTACTACTTCTCAAGTATTGGGAGTTTGTTCTGCCAGCATGGATGCAGTGTGCCACCATTCTAACCTTTTTTATGTATATAGTGGAGGAAGCGCAATGAGCAAGCTTTTTTCTTCGAATCCTATAGAACCAATAAAAAACTGTCCTTACTACATTTAACGCAATCCAATTTTCTTAAATGATTTATAGTTAATAGATTTTCTTTCTAGATTTTTAAAAGCTGTAAAAACCGCAAATGTCTTAGTTGTCTAGAAATCGTTTACAGATTATTATATACCTGAGAGCTCAGCTTGATGTTGAACAATGTGCCAATGGTTAATATTTTATTACCTAAAGCTGTCCTTATGATACGAATCATCTATTATCGTCAAACGATTGAGGTTTAGTGCAATAATTGCTTTCTGCAGCCAGGCATATTCCGTTCATTTTCAAGCTCGCTATGCTTTTGGGATGGAAATAAGACTCTGTAATAATTAGGTTAGGATAAGAAATCAAAGTTTTGTTTTTTTAAATATCAGCAATCTCTTCGTGTTCCAGTGATTGATTCAACAACACCTAGATATCCCTAATCAGTCACCGATAAATTGATTTTCTTCTTATGAAGTAGCAGTGATGAAACGTTTTCCCCCCGGACATACCGTACTCGAGGTATGCGTTACCACCAAAAAAGGCCTTTCGCAAACAAAAAGGAAACGACATTAACATCAATCTGCATATGCAAAGCTGTAATTAAATTTTCTTTCAACAAGCAGCCTTCACGGGAGCGTATCCTTGAGGAGCATACGGAACATATTATCTCCCAATGGAGGCTGTAATTATTATCTGTAGTTTAAGATAAATGATCCTCCGGGAGGGCAATCTCATGTTCACTTATTGTATTCAAATCCTATCATGGAGAACCGGTATGGCACTCAATATGACAATGGCCATTTATAGGCAATTACATGATTTTTATGTTTTATTTGAGGTCTTACATTCGTGTTTTATTATGTAAGGTCACAAAATTGTTACAAGACCATTCTCCAATAAGTCTTGGTTTCACTTTCTGAAGCCTGTCTCTGAATCTCTTTCCCGAAGGTCGTGTGCATGTTGAGTTCAATTCGGCTATCATTAAAACTGACAGTTCGGCATGAAGTGCCCTTGGCCCGCCTTCATTATGCGGACCAGGAAATAGGTTGAGGAGGGTTGAAAAGGTCATGTTCTAGCTATTTAAACTGCAAATAGGAGCAATACTGTTACAGGAATTGGACCATGCTCATACAATCATTACCTCTTTGTTAAGGTTGTCAACGAACCTTTTCAAATACCTAATGATACTTGGTATCCAAAGTTAAACATTTGACAAGTTGATCGAATCATCACTGAATGAATCCTGATAAATAAAAGTATCTAAAGACTAAATTTGACTCAAATGAGCTGAAAGATATTAACTTTTTTTATATTCGTAACTTGATTTGCAAATACGAGGCTCCTGCACATCCTAACTTCTTTGTTATCCTTTTTCTTATACTTTTTGTTACATATGAAATACATATCTTCTGTACTTTCAATACTGTTATAAATCAAACTTGTTACAAGTCATTTGGTATTGAAAGAATTCTGTCCACGGTTGAAACCATTCCTCTTCCAGCGGAGATGACTACGGTCAGCATGCGGCTTAGCGACCCTGGGCGAGAATCGCCTCCGGCCACCAACAACCTTTACCCGGTTCCGGTTGGGCTTGCGGATCCCATGACCTACTATACTTGCCTTCAAGCGCCTCCTTAATAAGAAAAAAAAATGCTAAGGACTGGTTAATTAACCTATAAATTATTTATCTTGGCCTAGAAACCTCTTATTACTGTCCGCAACAGCAAATCATGAATTCATTAGAACTTTTGGGACTTCGGTTGACTCACTATTCTTCAGTCCGAGTATTCTTCCTTTTACTTTATTTTAAAAAATGCTTCCCTGACGTAAGCTGTCATGTTTCGTACCCACAACGGATAGTTTTGCTATCCGTACTACTATTACTTATCCAATTATTGAGCTATAATTTTGAAGAATATCCACTCTTTCAGACAAAATAGGCAGGAAAAGGAGTTTTCTAAATTCTCTACACAACTTGGGCACTCTGGGACCTACGGCCTAACGTGCTCGGCCATCCCGTCCTCGATCTGGGACTAACGCATAGAGTAGATGGAACATTAAACAACTGCTAATAAAAACTGGTAAATCAATATCTCATGATATGATGGCAAAGAAGTTGACATGGGCCGTGCATAAATCTCGAAGCAATCCACCAGGAAGCCTTTTGCACATGATTGCCACAATAGTGGGCAAGAGACCAGATGGCCAAAAAGCAGATGGGTAGATCGTATCTACAAAGATTCCGTGGAGCTGCATGCAGATACCTGGATAGAAATCGTCCGAGAAAGGAAGAGGGGGAATAGGCTGATTAAGGCGGGAAGAGATCTACAAGGTATGTAAAGCCTTCAGAAAAGAAAAAAAAAAAATGAAAACTTGTTATTTCATGATTTATTTCAATTGAAATTATGATACTATGATGTTGATCTTCCAGACGATTTCCCTCGTTCTAACGTGGCCGCTCGGTGAGCCCTCGGACGCAGCCGACTACGCCATCAATGGACGTGCCAAAAGATGGCTATCCATCGACCTCCGACGCTGGCAGAATGCAGCACTCCCGCACCCCCTCCACCGGGCCAAGATAAATGAGAGTAGTTGCTGCTCGGGATGATGATGATTAATACCCACCGCGGGCAGTCATGACCTGCCTCAACCCCGCTCCTTTCGGCTCCTCCAGCCCTCTGCTCTCTGCCAGCCCCAGCTCTCTGCTAATGGAGGGAACCTCCAACGCGATAACCAGATTCTTCTGCAAACACGAACGAACTGCTCGGATCAAATACCGGAACCTTCCGAGATGCTAACGTTCGTCCCTGAACATGATTGATGTGTTTCCCGTTTTTTTTTCTTTTCGGAATTCCTTTGGTCGGTTCTTATTCGCTGAATCAGAACAATTTTCTCGCCACGTGTTAAACTCTCCACTGTTACCTGTTACCTATTCCTTAATAACACCATCGTTAATAAATTAAATGTTTTAACATTTTGTTCACATATTGAAAAATTATTATTATTCAGGTTAAATCGATTTAGTATAAGTCTAAATTAAAATTATTCTATATATTAATGATATCGGTTTTTCAACTACACATGATACATATGATTTTTTAAAATAATGTTTATCACAAGTTTTTTTTTTATGAAAAGTTGTATTTTATGATTTAAAATAAATAAGATATACAGTTATTAGATGTATTTTCTCCTCAGTCAATTCAGAATATTTTTACTTTTCTACCTATACTAGGTAAGAAAAGTATTGCGGTCGGATCAAATTTCCGATATGCGGTATTCAGAGCCCATTGAGTCCGAAAAACACATTTTTAGCCATTTTTTTTGTAGTTTTTTGACTACTGATGTCTGTGACACAAATTGGGTGCTCCAAGCACAATAGCTGTTTCGCAATAAATGAAAAACATGTTTTTCTAAATACTGTAGCGCGAAAACGATTTTGATGAAACTTTCTTATAATGTTCTTATAATTGTCGTTTCAAATTTTGTACATGGACTCAATTTTCGAAAAAAATCAGCAAAAACAGTTATAAATAAAAAAAATGTTTTGGGGCCTAACTCGCTAAGTATATATTCTATTATAAATTTTATAATAAAACTTTTAAAAGGTAATTGAATTAAATTAAATTAGGCTATGGCAAAAAGTTATTGATCAGCAATTAGACGTTATTTTTTAGAAATTTTTACACTGATCTACCACAAGCCGGTTTACATTGCTTTAGTTTATAAAATAAATCGTACTAATAGGTTTTCTTTGATAAATTTTCAGGAAAATAAATTTAATTAATTTTTTTCGTTTCTTGATGGACATAAGGTCTAACGATATAAAAAAATTTCTGAAATAGGTAAGAAAGGCATGTGAGTGGACACACCAGATTTTTCACTTCTAATTAATAATACAATTGTTAGACATATTGTTCTGTGTAGTTGAGTATGATCTAAATTCTATATGATCTAAAAAGTAGCTACTTTAAAAAAAAATACCATAAGTTTTTAGTGATTTTTCTATTTCCTCTGTTTGATTTTGGTAACAACAATTTTATTTATTTTGTATCTCATAACCTTAGAATAATCAGTAATGATACTTTTTACCCTTTATATATATGAATGTGCAGTTATACAACTTTAAGCGAATCAATCAGTTCACTGCTTAAGGTACCAAACTCCTTACGACACAGACTATGTTCGATTTTGGTTATAGAAGCAAATACTTTTTTTAAAATATAAGCATTGAGGAGGAGATACATCTATACGACTTGAAATTTTGGTTCAAGAAAAAAATTGGCAATTAAGTGTCGTTGATTTCCCCACCTTCTTGTAAAATATTTAGTCAAGAAACTGTTAAATCTTTACCGAACACTGAATTATGGATAATGGTATATTGTATATCGATACTATTAGTGCCACAGATCGTATCTAATAATTTTTCATTCTTATTATATTTGTACTAAAGTTGTTTTTTTATAGCCTACAACTAGGAACAATAGATTATGAAGTTATACTAATAAATCATAAAGATGTAATCAGCTCTCTGATAAAAAACTCGATTTTCACATACGATCTTTTGTACTAAAAAAAGCTTGTTGTTGGTTCTTTTATTAACTGTGACTGAATATTAACATAATTATATAATTTATGAAATATTAAAAATTATAACATACTGATAATTAAGTTCGCTTACTGTGTTTCGGTGTACGATCTGTTTGATATTTGTAACTTGACAAGTCACTTTTTTTTTTAAATATTATTTCAGATTATATTTTTGTTTTCTTTATTCATCATTATAATTAATATTTTAATGTTGTTAATTGTAATTTTTAAGCATTAGGCATAACATTATAGCCTAAAAGAAATCTGGGTTGGAAAACTTGACAACTCGTTAGCGATAAACACAATCAACTCTTGATGGTAGCTATTTTTAGAAGACAGTTTTAGAGCGTTTCTTTTTCTCAGGTCAATGAACCCTTCTTATATGGCGAATTATGTTTTGATTTTTTTATACAGTCGATTTGTTCTGAGATTCGTTTGGGTCAGAACGACACGGTGGTTCCTAATAGTTGTTTGTTCCATATTTTTCAAATCATTATCTATTTTGACGGTTCCATGTTTCGATAATTCTGTTAGATGTTTATCTTGCTATATTGGAGTAGCTTGTGTGTTGAAATTTTATAATTTTTTTGGAAATGTAAACATGGATAGATTATTGTTGACGTATGCTTTTTTTTTTTTTTTTTTTTTACGTAATTACATATATTTGTTAATGCCACTGTTATTCTAATGGATACTAAGCGTTATAATTTATAATAAAAATAACATTTATTCTGCATTCTTTATAATTTAGATATTTTTATTGTTTAAATATTTGTATATTTTATTTTAATACGTTGTCCGTTGGGGTCATTAAATTCTATGTTTATGCCTATGTTACTGTATTAACCGTGGTTTATGGTTTAACTAAACCGCAATGGTTATGGTTCTTGGAAGCATATTAAGTCCGAGTGGGATCTCAATTAAGCCCGAAGTGGCCTAAGCCCCTCCTCGGTAAAATGCTTAAGAGCTACTCTTCCTGCTCACCTTCAAAGCTTCTCTTTTTCTCCTGTCACTTTGCCAAATTCGCAACGTTCAACCTTACCCAACTGGGATTTGTTTAGAATAATTTAAATATATATCAACTAATATTATTAAGCATAAAGCAGTGTTATCTTTACTAATTTATTCTTATATATGTTTTTAATAACAAAAAAAATAATAGAGCTACTCTTTAATTTCACTGATAAAATCATCCATAATGAATCCAGATACCTATCCTTCCATAACAAACTTCAGTACCATCCGAACACTTTCGTTTCAAACCTTGCTTCCTTCTCGATCCCTGATAACACTCCGAGGCGTCTGAAAAGAAGTTGACCTCGTGATCTTCTTTTGCAAATTTATTATTTGAGTGTTACCAGTGGGTAGTTTCTTAACAAGCGATTTCGTGTTATTATATTCCTGATTGCACAGTTATTAGATGTATTTTTTTTTATAATACAGTTGTAAATATCAATGAATAATAAACAAAAAGAAAACAAAAAATAAGAAGAAAAAAAAACACTGAAAAACAAAAACAAAACAAAATCTGATTTACTGGATGTTTAAAAATTATTTCTGAAAATAATCATATAATGTACACTGAGTCTCTGATTATGATGCTAAAATAACGTTGTATGTCGCATATTACTTGAAAGTGTTAAAAGCTTCGTTTGGGAGTCGGTATTGTGTACATTCGTCCACTCCAAGCAGGTATTAAAAGCCTTTGTTGGTCTTTTTTATTTCAGTATCGCCAGTCACTATCAGCAATAATTACTTTTTGTGAAATAACAGTTATTATTTAGAAATCATATGTCATAAAAGAATAAATGTGTTTTCAAAAAATTAATATTATACAATAAATAAACACAAAATACATTAACTTTGAGAATAAGGAATATATAACTATATAAATCTCCAGGAGGCAACTATATAAATCTCTGCCTTCAAATATTCTCCAAACAAACTCACAAACATTTGAGTCAAGTATACATCTTGTCCCATACTCTATTTTATTCAACACTAGACAACCTCTTTGCTTGCTGTTAATTTTAATAAGTTCATTTTATTTTTTAATTTCACATTCTCAATAAAACAATACGTTTATGATTCATATTATAAACTGATCAGTACAATCGTTATAATTTATTAAATTATTTTCATTCTAAAAATCTGTAACAGTTCTAAATAAGTAACTGACGATACTTAAAGATAAATAAAGACCCGTCTCTATGGTATTTCAATGACTTACCTATAATGAAAAATAAAATGGTTGTAGAGAAATTGTGTAAAGAAAATTAATATAAAAAGCGTATACCATACCTGTTTTTGAAATTTTCAAATCAATCTTTACTGGAATTAAAATATGAATTTTCACCCTTCTTAAAATATATATATATATATATTAGAGGAAATCTTGGACTTTTCAGCTAATACATCCCCAAAATGTTTTGCAAAAATCAGAGGAGCCTCAACTTCTGGTTGACCGCCTAGTTTTAATATTTTCAGAGACAGCACAATACGATTTCGACTCTACCACATGAAGCAATTCCAGTAATATGTTCTAGGAAACACAGCCATTTCCATTCCATCTCTCGTCAGTCAAGTTTAACTTTTTCTTTTCTTTCTTATCTGGATTACGAGGAGTTTCTGATTGCTAGGAGTTTGGATTATCGAAATCACTCTGTAATTTTTAATTAAAATCTTCACTCTGTAAGAGAGATAGGTGGTAATAGATATAGTGTTCATCGTATCAGTAATTTAAATCTACTATGAATAATGTTAAAATATCAATAAGAAAAGAATAAATGATAGTAAAATATTGATAACTGAAAATATAAATATATATTGATGTTTAAACTTAAAGTCTGTTACTGCGGCGAAGAGGTGCTGAGTCTGTATCTTGTTGTTGGCCCCGTGGTTTTTGTGTCGTATTGAATAATTGATGGTTGGTCGTTGTATATTTTTGAGGAAGGAGATGATCCAGGGTGGCGGTCATAAAAAGAATAAAATAGTCAATAAAAACTATTTTATTTTAAGCCAACGTTTCGACCTGACTTTCCACGTCTTCTTCAGGAGCTTGTATGGAGTTTCGGTGGAAACCTAAATATATATCTATATATATTAAAACTAGTGAATGGTTTATATTTATAGAATCATCGAAATCCTAATTTTTTTCTTCATTTACAACCTTACCCAAAACTACACCTTTCTGATCACTCACTCCAATAAATCTAATCGATTTCTATCACATAAAATTTTCACATAAAAATGGTGTAAAAAAAACTTTCACCATTTTTTTTTCTTCAAATTATTTAGACATATAATAATCGGTCTCGTGGACAATAATTATAGTGATATATGAACACATTCACACCATGTATGCAGAAAATATAAAATTAACAAAAGTAAAATAATAACTAAATAATAATCAGAACAACCATGTACAATAAAAAATAAAATAACCTAAACATATGTAAATTAAAAACATAAAAACTCAGTCATACGTATCTACAGTATATACAATCAGGCAGGGAACCCCAAGCCAGGGGGTTCATCTTCCTCCAACTTTAGAAGGAAAAGCAGGACTCTAAGAGATCCCTGCGCTACTCTATCAACCGCGTCATTGGTGCTAAAGCTAAACCATTAACTTAACATTTATTTGTTCAATATTTACAAACATCCGAACAAAGGTAATGATACCGGAACAAAGGTCTTATCAACAGGACTTCTGGAGATCCCAGTACTTCTCCCGCGTCCATATTTGAATGTTTTAGGTGGATGAAAGTAGCAGAAATTGTTGTGGTAGGGAATTGCTGATTAAATAGTATTGATTATTTACCAATGCTTCAATGACTTAATGTTTGAACATGTTGCATTCATCTTGGAATCAATTTATGTTTTATTAAAATTAATTAAAATTAATCGTAATTGATAGTAGCAACAGGTAGCATTAATCATAAATTATTTAAATGAGCAGTTGTAAAATTTTATCGATGCGTTCTAGACGGTTTTAAATAAACACTTTTACATGGGCCCTCCAAACCATAAATGTTTGTCCGTACGAGAGTAATATTAGTGATATTAAATATTGGTAGGAGGGTTCATAAGAACTGGTGGGAGTGAGTTATCTGGCCGTGATCTATTCTGAATTTTTTCCCGCCCACGGGTTGTCAGTGCACCACCACTCCTCCGGCGGACATCAATTTTTTCTGTAGTTTTTCTTCGTATCATCACGCTTATTTATAGCCTACGAGTCCAATACCAATGATAAATCGTCTCGAAGGATAAATATTCGAAATGAAAGCGCTTACTGCTAAGGTCGTTAGTTGTCATGACCACGGAAATCTATTAAGTTGGAGTTACTTAAAAGAATATATATATGTATACTTTTTTTTTATTCCAGATTTGGAATGTTGCCCTTTGAATATTATTGTAAAATTTAGTCTGTTATGTATTTATTTAGACATTCAGTTATTTATTTAGATATTCAAACATTTTTTTGGGGGGCAAATAAAATAAAATAATCAATCATTCAATTGTTATTGTATATGTGTTTTCTTGGGAGTTTTATATTTTATATCATTGTTAATAATTGGCGTTATTTTGACTGTCTAACATTTTACTAAATATATTTTTAAGTGATTCTTGTAGTAAGATTGTTGTAATATTTGTAATGCAGTATAAAAATGAAAAGAAAAAAATATTTGTAATACCATAAGAGTAATAATGTTTGTTATACAAAGATAGACTCTACTTGAATGGGATTCTTGGCCAAAAACAAATAAGGATTAAATAAATACACACACACACACACACACACACACATATATATATATATATTTTACGATCTTCATGTTAAGTGACATTGTTTCTTAACTATCTGACTTCATTCCGAACGAAGGAGGTCGCCTTAAACTTACAAATTTCTAAAAATATGTTTCAGTTTCTTATTTGGAATTTTAGTCTTTTTGGCCGTGGTCCTACTGTCAATTCTGACTTGAGTAGCACCTTTGTATCTTAATTTCAATATTTTATCATTCCTTGAAATGAAATTTTAACTTATATTTTAAATCAGTTTCGGTATGACTGGAATTTTTATTTGCAATTTTTTTTTCTGTTATTACGAAAATAGAATTTTTTTCTTTGATACTTTTCAAGGAAAGGTTTTACACAGCTTTTATTAAAAACAAAACAAACAAACTTTATTTAAAAGATCTGTTGATTTAGCCAAAAAGTAGATATAAAATATTACTTCTATTTCTTAGCTACTCAAACAAACGACATGTTAGTATCAATTAATTCATTTATGATAAATTATAACTCTAACCTAAAGTCAATTTCTGTTTATTTCTCATTTAACGTTACACTTTATAAGGAGTTAAATAAATAAAAATTAAACTTTTACTATAAATCTGCAATAACATGGAATAAAAGTTCCTTAGAACTTTTATTTTTAAAACTTTTTACCTAAAATTTTTCACAGATACTGTTAAAATGGGGGTTTTTAAAAAAAGTTTCAACCCCTACATTTTGCACAATTTCCTTCTTTTTTTTGTCTATATTACAGTACAATGAAATAATAAAAGATGAAACATGTGATATATTGTGCTTTGCAATGGTTAATTATATTAGTTGTTCTTGTGGTTGGACACTGATTTAGAAAATAATTCTAGCAGTTCTCTTCCAATGATGGTTTCATGATGGTATCCAACTTTAGGATTTACGAATCATCAGGCTTATCACTTTAGATGCCACAAGACATTTATTGCATCGTTCCTGGAGCTCGCTCGTATAGCTCAAATTGAATCAAGGCGTTAGCTAGGCTATGAGGTGTGTATAGCCTTGTGGAGAGCCGAGGTGGAAGAAAGGGGGATTCCATTTTCCAGTAGAGCTCTCCAGGATAGAGGATGGTCGGCTGGAAGGTGCTCTAGCGGACACAGCCTCAGGTCAGGGCCCAGCCCTTCCGCTCCGGGGCTCTTCGCTTTACGGACCATCGACTCGTCCTCACTAACATTCCCTATCTTCTTCCAAGGTTATCCCGACCTTCCTCTCCCCAATTTGTTGTTTCTCCGAAGGTCTCCTGTTATCCTAGATCAAAGGGAGGGCCCAGGGTCAACGCCCTTGTTGAACTTCAGTACGAGGCGTCCATAACATTCCACCAGCCCTAGAGACTTGAAGAATGACTCAGTTTATCTTAATTGCAAATAGTTTTTCTTCCTCTACTCACACGTGTCAATTAATGTTATCGACAACCTTTGAATTCGACGTACACGAGCTCAAGGGCATGACATGAGGGGAATTGTTCTCGGTGGCATTTCTTCTTGACTGGGTATTACCATTAATTGTTAGCCCGGAGGGACCATCATCCAGATCCTCATCAGCCTTCTACGGTTGTTACCTGGTACCTGTCCTCTGGCCTTCTCTTTTATAAATATGTTCGGGTGTCCTTGTGATTTGTCATGGAATCGTTTGTAGTGAATCCGTTTGCGTTCGGTAACAATTAGCTTGTGAAGGTCAAGATGTTTGTTATGTTGTTCGCGGCATCAAGATTCTTTAGAATATACGTGTATACATATTTTTATTCCTATCTGTCTTACAATAAATACCAACAACTAATGAATCGTATAATTATAGATACAATAATATATCATAAGAAGAATTAGAGTGTGAATATTAGTGCCTCTTCCTATCATGGTAATACGGTTTCTATTTATTCCATTTGATTCCACATCCAGAACCTTTTCATTCTTCTGCAGGTGTTGTCAGGCATGAAACTTACACATAATAGCTTTATCATGGCCATACCTAGTATGTGTTAGTTAATATAACGATAATTTTTCCGGAAATTCGTATGTCTTCGTTGACGTTCGAGGCTTTTAACATCCAGCTTTATTTTTTGTTTGCATTTTTGTATATATGTAAAGCGTTAGTCTAAATATTCTTAAGTAAATATAATTTTCTGTCCAAATTTCAAGCGTCTTTAAAGAATTTGAACATTCTTGATGTACGTTGGAGACAAGTACTCATTCATAACGCAACGCAACTATTGTTGTAAATCAACAATCTAGCAGTTTTTTGTATTTGGATTTGGATTTTTTTAAAACACTCAATTTAGGTTTTAATTAGTGGGATACAACATAGCAATTATTCATTGAGACGTAAGTTTTCTCTTTGTAAAGTTATGAATGGGATTTGGAACACATTATTCTAGTTTCTAGATTTGTAGGTTTTCGGTTTAAAAAAAATCATTATTGCTCTTATTTTTGTTATAGTGTAACGATTTTTTAAAAAACTAATTCGAGACGGAATAATGTGTCCCGTTTTATTCCAGATGAAATATTTTTTATTCCAATCGCCTGATCGAATTACTGATATGGATCAGTAACAGAATCATTTGAAGTGATAGGAGAATGGCTTTCCCCAGTGCGCTACAAGTCAGAGACCTCTCGAACGATATAAAAATAAACGTGCAATGCAAAGGATCACTTGAAATAGCACCTTACCCGACCCTGTCTAAAATTATTCCTGAATAAAGAACCTCTTACCTGTTCTAGGAACCTTGCGGGGCCAAGCACTGAGAGTCTGTCGGTTGGTACTCCAAGTCCGGATTTGACCTTTACGTAGTAGTTTTGTTTTTTATTTTGCGAAAGGAAATGTAAAGCAGGATCATAAGATCTCCAGCAGCTGGAAGCTTGTACCTGCATGTCGTCATTTAGCTCTAAACAAAAAAAAAAAATAAAAAATAAAAAGGTTGCTTTGTCCACTAATAACAGTAAATATCTTTGTTATGTAATGAAAATGTCTACTGATCTTTTAAACTCTTATTGCGCTTTTTTCTCTGTTGTGTCTGCCTTTACATTCAAGCGTGTAATACGATGATTATTCTGAAAGTATGGTTCTATATATTTATCTATTGAAGTGAGTCAAAATGCTAACAGTTCGATCATAACCTTAAATGTTTAAATATATTCAGAGTTTATTTTATAAAACAAAAAAACTTAATTTTTTTAGTAATATCTACTACTTATCTTTATTACATATATTATTTGTACAATATTAACTTAGCACACTGATTTAAATTTATTATTATTTTCCTTTAATCTTCACAAATACCTTATGCACAAAGGGTTCAAAGTATGCACAAAGAAATTCCTATCTCTTAAGATAGTAAATCGCTCTAATTTTAAATAAACTGCCAGGGACTTATAAAAAACGAAGATATTTATAACAAAGACAATGCATTTTGGTTAACTCGATAATTCGTAATGATTTCCGTACACTAGGACAATTAACATCCTATGATTCGTAACTGTTAACAATCCCGTTTATTCGAAGAAAAAAATCCCGTCTCACTCTTCGATTTTTTCTGTTATGTTATTATGTTTTTCTGTTTATATTGAATTGTTTATTCTTTATTTTTAATATATGTGGGTTCACTATGAGAACAAAACTTATAGCAAACGTGTCTTTCGATTTTCAAAAAAAATAAGGAAGTCACAAAAGAAGTTGCCGATGGCGAAATAAATCATTGAATCATCTCCAAGCAGCAAAATGAAATGGTTGGTTGTTGTGTGGTGAAAGCGTAAAACCTGTTGGTCATCAACACCGTTAATTAAAATTAATTATTATTACATATTCTGGTCGGAAATAATAGGAATAAAATTAAATTAAAAAGACGTAAAATCCAAGTTTAGGCTAAAGTTGTTTACGTTTATGAAAGTTTAGTTATTTAAAGTAAAAAAATAATAATAATAAATAAATATAAAAAAAAAAAAATAAATATAAAAGGGGAAAATGTGGGAAGTGCTGTGTGAGAGGTTCAGAGATTTTTAAAGATTCCTTCTTCAGAGAGAAAACATATAATTTTGCTCAATATTTTTTTATCATTTCCCAAAGCAGTTGATGTATTTTCTGATATTCCTCTTTTGTTTAATTCCTTGATGTAAAATGATCAACTCTCGAATATATGGACCACTGTCATTCTCTCTACACTTCCGACAAATGGGCGGGTTTTCTTTTGTAATTAATTAAAGGTGCATAAACCTGGTATGATCTATTCTTGTCATTTAAAATGAAACGGTTTTTGAGGTATATATTATAGTTGAATTGGAAATTTTTTTTAACAATCAATAATTGGTAATCCTGCACTTTTTTTTTCTTATTTCCCTATTTTTATGGGAGATTTGTTTCTTAAATATTCTGTTAACTGGCTCTTTACTGTGTCTCAGATATATTTTAAGGCCTTTCTGAGCAATCCTTTGTTCTGTTTTAATTTTTTTTTCTACTATTTATCGAAAATCTCGATAATCTGTAATAAACCTTTGGTCTCTTGCCTTTACGAACTATCGGGATTCTACTGTAATATGTATGATTATAATATGGGAGCATAATATAAATCTGCTTCTGATCATTTTCTGGTTTTTATATCTATGTACACAAACTTATATTTGTAATAGCTATTTGTTGTCCATCACAAAGATGTTACTATTGCAATATCAGAGGGAATATGCAAATAAGTGCATTAGTGCATAATACGCCTCAGTTATAGTTTGTTAATCTTGCGATAGTGTATCACTATAGATACCTTTTTGCAGAGTTGAATGCCTCCTACTGTCGAAGGATAGATACACAGTTGACGCATCAGCTTGCCTGAAGGACTCCCAGCCTTATGCAATCTTTTATAGAACGTTCTTCGGAGTGAATTACGCCTGCAATTCACAACGCTTATCCTTGGAACGTAAGGAAGCGTAACACTACTCGTTATTTCAGGGAAGAATTTCATTGTAGGATATATATGACCTCATATAAGGTTCTATCCATTTTTCTGTTAGTTATTTTATTTACGTTTTTTAACTATTAAACTAACGCTAAGCTTTCTTTCATAATAAAATGTACGATATAAGAATATAATAAAGTTTCAGCATTATCGATATATTTTCTGTGTGTATTTCATTTTGTTTTTTCCTATACTGCATAATAATTTTAGTCCTCCTTTGACAACATCGCTGGTACTGAGTTTCTATAGTCAGGAGAAACCGGAAAAAGTCATTGAATTTTATTATTCTGGAAAAGTGGAAATGATCATAAATTCGAAACATTTTTGGAATATTTCTTACTAAAGAGGTTAAAAAATAAAAACAATTTAAATCAATAAAAATAATTAAAATATTTATTTTAGATTTTTTAAATTAACCGTCCTCACGACTTTCAATCCGCCGAAAAGATTTCCAATAGGTTTTAAGCAAATAAATTTTATTTAAGGCAGGTGACTGACTGACAGACACTTGTCACTCGTTTATTGTAAATCGGTAATTTATTTTATTAACTTTGTTTACCAATTTCAGCAAAAATTGTATTTGTTCAATAAAATCGTTGGAGAGATAGGGAAAAAATTAGCACAAATTATTAACGATTAGTCATAAAGAATATATCACATGCTTATATACATTTTTGATATTGGTTAACTTTCAAATATGTTTTTGTGAATTTCGATCTTATTTATTAACTCGTGGTACAGACTCCTTTGTATCAAATTATTAACACCCGCCTACAACTTCGTAAATAGTTTCATAAAATCGTACCCTACAACTATTTTATTTAAGAAAACTCTTGGAATTGGGGCGTTTTCAATCTGGAGAGGGGCAAAGTTTGTCAATTTAATTACGCACTAAAAACTCGTAAATACCCATTTGCTTTCTACTTGGATCGTAAGATAATTTTATCACAATATCGAGATAATTTCACCCCCTAATTTTCAAAATAACGAGGTTATATAGGGCAAACGGCTCAATATTTTTGTAGACCACCTTTTTTTTTATTGATTTTGTGATAAAATTATCTTACGATGCAAGTAGAAAGCAAATGGGTATTTACGAGTTTTTAGTACGTAATTAACTAGACAAAGTTTGCCCCCCTCCAGATTTAAAACTCCCCAATTTCAAGAGTTTTCGTAAATACAATAGTTGTAGGTTACGATGAGAGGAAACTATTTACGAAGTCTCAGGCAGGTGTTATTTTAATAAGTCGATAAAAAAAAAATCTGATTTCACGAAGTGAAAATTCTTCAAAGTTCTTGATTATTTGAGTTTATGAAATGTCAATTAATGACTTTTTTGATATGTTTGGTTTGTAGTAATATTTATTAAGCCGTTGACTTGTTATGTTCTGTGATAATTGACCTTTTATATGGAATGCGGAAATGAACAGCTGTTCATAACAGACGCTATGATTCTCAGCAGTCATGGAGGTCACCCTGCACGGTTTTATTCCCTCCTCCTTATCGTGTCGTTAAAAACCTGAGCCTTCTATGGCGGATCTCCTTAGAGATTCTTGCTGACGAACGGACCCTGGGTATGAAGTGTAGTTTAGTATGCACCGATGGTAGGCCTCTACGTCAGTCAATTGTAAAAAGGTTTTTCATATCCTCTTCTTTTTCTTTTTTGATCCATGATCCTTGGAGTAGCCCCGAAGCCGTACAATAGAAGATAGTTTTGTTGCCGGGTGACGGGGCCTTGTGGTAGGTCAGGCATTGGCTCCCCCCCCTTCCTATGGTTTTCGTTGTAACATCCCCCAAGGACACCTCTATCAATAGGAACTGACGTCAGGACTGCCGAACCTCTACCTCCGAAACGGCCATCTTTTCCCACCTGCTCTGGGGTATTTCGATAGCGGGTGTTGGCTCTTCTTGGAAGGGCGCAGATGTTTCCTGTCTTGTCTAAAGTTCTAGTGGGGGGGGGGGGGTGAAGATTGTCCTGAAAGTGGAGGGGGTAGGGATTGGTCCTGCCAGCAGTTCATCGGTGCCATCGCTATTCGGCTAATTACTATGGTGTAAATATACCTGGAAAAGTCTCATTAATAGAAGTAATGGAACTGCTCCTTTAAAACAGTAACCCTCTCATCTTGCTCCTGTTATTATCATACTGCTTCGATTGAAGTACAACCACAGATTAGAAAGTAATTTGACCCTTCATTATCTTTTGTAAGTTAAATATTATGTTTTTATAACAAATTGAATTACTAAGAAAATTAATGAATTTATTTTCATTTTTATCTGTACCTCGGACCATTCCTGTGGGTTACCTCTCACAGTGATCCATATCATGACCAAATTTCATGCATCCGTATCTCTTCGGCACCAACATCTTGTCAGAAATAGGTTTGAAGAATCACTTCAAAAGGACCACAATGCTATACAAACTTAATATTGTTTCCTGGGGAAACTAAAATATTTCCCAAAATTTAATTATTCAGTTTACTTTAAATCTAGCAAACTTTTTATAAATTTATAATATATGAACCTGTATTTCTTTTATAATTTTACTAAATCATGGGTTAATCTTGTTATTTTTAACTATATTTCTCTTTATGTACTGTAATTTAATCATACCTCCATATATATATACATATAACTATAACTATGTTTTCTTTTTCTCATATATTCCATATGGCAAAAACGACCCTGGTGGTTGAAAAGCCAAAAACATTTTATATAAATAAATAAAAAAAAATTCATTTATTATCCGTATTGGTAAGCATACAAATTCAATATTTGTAACTGAAAATTTGTCCCGTTTTTTATTTTAATATAATAAATAATATAAAATAGTGCAGTTTTATTTAAATTTCTTTTATTTCATAAGAGAAATTTCGAAATTCTATATGTCTTATTTCTTTTTAAACGTTTATATTAGTAGAAAATGTCTATTTCACTAGTTTGATATTTACTATCTGGTTTAAAAACGCCCTTAAAAAGAGTTTATGATGCGCTTAACGTGGCATTCCAACGATATCTAGCTCGTAAATTATATCTTAAACCACATTTTAAGAACACTCAAGTTTGAAAGCATATAACGTCTTATGTTGGTTACCTGGGAGTGTGTTCAGTGTTGATCATTACACATTTAAACGGTCATAAAATCTAAACATTTCCTTATTTCATCTTAGGTGATGTTTTTTTTATTTTTTTTAATGATACTACTTTATATTTTTAAATAAAATTGTTTTAGGATTATTAAAAGAAACATTTTTTATATTAAAATTAAATTTATTCATGATTGATTCTCCACTGTTGTCTGATTTATTTAATATCAAATATTAGTTTCTTTTGAAAGTTAGTTATTTCTACAATGTTTTATATACTGCTTTACTAAGCTTTATTTTTCTTATATTTTCTATTATTTTGTAATTGTATATATTGTATGAATGAGTTTCTTATATATTAAATACTCAATGCCCTTGATTGAGGCAAAATGTATTTTTTCCTCAAAAAATAAAAAATAAATAAACTACACAATGTTTTATATCTTTGATGTGTATGCGGCAAGAAGGAGGCAAAAATTTCACGAAATTAAAATCATAATGAATTAATCAAATAAATGCCTAGATTAAATTATCTATGTATAAGATTAGTACCGTTTCCATATTTATTTTTAATTCCATACAGACCTAGTGAAGAAAAAGAACACAGAAAATAAGAAAACAATAATATAATAAACAAAAATATTTAAATTTATTTCATTCTTTAATGTTATTATTGTTGATTTAATGGATGTAATAGATATCTATTATCCTATTATTAATTATTCATTTATAATTTTTTTTTAAATGCACTATTACTCTAAATATAACGTTACTATATAACATTCATTAATGAAACAATTTAATTTTATTAATAAATTGGTACAAAATACTTGTTTGTATCTTAATTTATTTTTAAGTAAACCCGCAATTTAGGGGTATTTTTACTTTTTTTTTTAAAAGGTAATTAATTTGGTGATCCCATAATTCCTGAATTATTACCATTTAATTTAAATATTTAAATTTTGTGTTTCTTCTCATTAAAACGACATTAGTCACTCATACATCGCAATAATATATAATTTTTAATTTATGAACCATTGTTTTTTTTGTTACGTTTAACATCTTCCTATATTTATCTCATGAGATTGACGTCTTTATTTTTGTATAAAATCATTAATGCTTCGCATGTTTGTGTAAAGAATTCTGTTGATGTTTATTTGGTTTTATAGTATTTATATATAAAAAATCCTTTTTTTTATCTCAATGTTTTCAACACCACTTAAAAATATTTTAATTATTGAGTTAATTCTTTTATAAATAAAAATGAGAAAGAAATATTAATAAAAAATAATATTTATTAAGAGAATTATTGGATTGAGCAGAAAATTATTTTTTTTAATTTCTTAAATATTATTCAATTTATTTTCTGACATTAGTAAAATATTTTTGATTAATTATCACTTTTATTTTTACTGTAACTTGTTCCTTTTCATTCACTATAAAAAATCTTCTTTTTTTTTAAACTGTACATAAAGATTAAAATAAATATAGGTAGATTAAATAAATATAATATTTTTTCTATTATTTATGAAATGAGTAAAATCTTGCCTTTGTTGTATGATACGGAGTTGTTTGTTGTATCTGACAACAATTATGTACAAGGTCTTTTCAAGGTAATACACTCTGATGGGAAAAGTTTTCCAATGCCTTGTGTAAAAGATTACACACTCTTTCTTAAAGACTTCACTAGTATTATTTTTTTCTATAATAAAATTAAATATTAATTAATAACTAGATAATTAGTTGATAAGTTAGATTTTTGATGTCATATTATTTTTTCATTTATAATTTTTAAATAGGTTTGTTTTTCCTGATGTCTTATTGTTTAAAAATCGCTGTAATTAAAAAAAAATGACAATTCCTCGATTGTCTGACACGGATTCGCTTCGACTTTCGCTCTTAACAGGTCCTTGCCATACGTTG